CGCTTGGACTCTCCCGTGGTGCACAGAAAAGGACTCTTCAGGTAAGCCAATAGTCATTCTAGACTATATAGAAATGGTAGATCATGTTTATGCTTGATATGGCATTTACTGAAGTTTTTTTTTTCCTTTGATACACCATCCCCATTGTCACACAATCAAAATCCCGATGTTTGGCAACTGACTCATACATATGACGGTTGCAGTGTCCCCAGGTCATGTGATCACTCTTTGCAACCTTCTGACAAGCAGAATCAATGGGGAAGCCAGATTCACTTAACAGATGCGTTACTAGCTTAACAACTGCAGTGATTCACTTAACAAGGATGGCAATAATGGTCGCAAAATGGGGCAAAATTCACTTAAAACACAAAAAACAACTTTTTCACTTGGCAACAGAAATTTCGAGCTCAATTGTGCTTGTAAGTCAAGGACTATCTGTATTAATAGTTAAGAGAAGATTCTGTATCAAAATATTATGACTAATGTATGCATGTAAAATATTAGTGCAAATCAAAAAATGGATTCTCAGATTAACATTACTTAGGAAAAAATGCATAGCTTTACAATATTGTACGTTCTAAATTTCTATAAATGTCTAAACATCAGTGTCTCATTTTTAAAGGGACACAGTGCAAACAACTGGAACTTATTAGTAAACAGTTTGAAAAAGAGAAACAAATATTAAATAAAAAATTAGAAGAACTACGTATTAAACTGGAAAAATCAGAAGAAGAAAGTGCTCTTTTAAAAACCAACATTGCCCAGAGAACTAATCAGTTTCAAACAATAGAGGAAGAGTTATTAGAGAAAGCTTCAAAATCATGTTGCTTGGAAAGAGAAGTAAGTTAAAACTAAGAAGTCTGTTCTTAAAGGCTATCTAGTTTAATTTTATTTTTGTATGGTGCCTAGGAAGTTCTAAGAGCATACATTAATTCCTCTGTAATAATATACTCTGGCTAGAATTTTCTTGTTGCATCAATATGAGATCTCCTTTCCTTATAGTTTCTTTCGTAGTGATAACTCACATTGGCTTAAGATCATTCTCACTATTGAACCAATAAATAGTTAAGGCCTTTTGGGATAATTTGTCAGTGCCCGAAGTATGCAATAGCCATAGTAGTATAGTCCCACAAGCCAAAATCAAATGTAACAGTATATTCTGTCATCAGATAAAACAGCAGATACCTATGCACTTCTTGTCACAGAGACGACTGATATTGCTGTTGATTTTAACAAAAATAACAAAAAAGTTACTTTGTGATAAAATAGGCAGCCAGTAAATTTGATAAATAAAACTAAATAAAAGGAGAAGTGACATAAGATTATAGGCAAATGGGATGAACTGAATGTGAATGAGTTTATGCTTTGCAATTTAAGTATGTATTTTCTTAAATACAGCTCATGTTATTTGCCATTACTAATTCCCTAAACCTTGAAAAAACATATACTGCCATTGGTGTAACCATTTGCAATATATAGAAATTACACTATCTGTATAATAAATGTATAAAAGTATATCAACCCTTGTTCATTTCAGTTTGTGTAAATATTCTTTGTAGATAGCAAGAAAATCCTCCCAGTTTTCCATCCTTAAAAAACAGTTGGAAGAAAAAACTTTTGCTTATGTAACTGCACTTGCAAGAAATACTGAATTGGAACAGGAATTAATGGTAACAGTCTTTTACTCTTTTTTCAATATTTTGAAGTAGAATTAGATACATTAATTTATATGATGTTAAATTTTGTTAATATGCCATATTTTTCAGAGTGTAAGACACGCTGGAGTATAAAATGCACCAAGATTTTGAAGAGGCAAATTAAAAAGTTTTTGCACTCTGCAGACCTCACGAAAACCGGGCCCTTTTTTTTTTCCAAAAAAGGGCATGAATAGCCTTTAGGAGGCTTTCAAAGTATTCCTGGGTGCTGGGGAGGGGAGAAATGGGTGAAAAACAGGCCGTTTTTTGCTCATTCCCCCCCCCAACCCCCAGGAGCACCCTATAAGCCTCCTAAAGGCTATTCATGCCCTTTTTTGAAAAAAAAAGGGGGGGGCGTTTTCGTGGGGTCTGCAGAGTGCAAAAACTTTTTAATTTGCCTCTTCAAAATCTTGGTGCAGCTTATACTCCAGTGTGTCTTACACTCTGAAAAATACGGCATATTAGCAAAATTTAACATCATATAAATTAATGTGTCTAATTCTACTTCAAAATTTTGAA